TCATGATTGGTCGAAGACTAGGTTCTTGTATAACAGAATAATTAGTAGAAAAACAGACTAATTAATTCTCACATATCTGCAAAAGGCAAATGTCTACTAAGGTATTTAATCGTCTGCACACTTTCTCGTTTTTCAGAAATCTGATTTTAAATAATTCAATTTATTTTTTAATAGTTTTAACATTTTAAATTATATAGTTGATATGTTGCCCACTGTATGTTCTGGGTTTTACCCAAAAATTGCTTCTCGCCCTGCAGTCTTTTTGTTTTCTTTTTTCCATATTTATTTTTTTTATTTTGGGCCATGTGTCTGGGCCACTTTGCGTTGTCGTCGTCGTCGTCGAAGTCGATGTCTGCGTTCGAGTCGTTGTCCGACGGCCGCCAAGGTGCTTATTAAATTCCTTATTTAAAAATACATTAAAAAATGCAAGAAGCTGCCCCAGAACACAGACCAATCCCCGAATGCGGCGAGTCATCAGCTGCTCAATGTTGCGCCCCGGCTGCTGGCCGTGCGTCTGCTGCAGCCGCATCCGCTGCAAGTTGTTAACCAATTTTTCAATCGATTTGATTTGCTTTTGATTTTGCATTTTGTTGTTTGTTGCAAATTTGATTAAAAGCGCGCGTTGAAAATGTTTTCCTGCTTCTCTCGCTGCTTACATAATCATCAATAACAACATTTGGTTGGGGGTGCGTGCCACTTGTGGCCTATTAATTGCGTGTTGCAGTTGCAGTTGCTGTTGCAGTTGCGGCAATTCCTGCTGCCTGACACGCCAAATGTTTGCAGTGCATTGGCATTTGAACTGAATATGGACTCTGCGAGCTATGAGTTATGAGTTTTTGGTTATGCAATGCTGACCAAAAATGTTGCCAAGAACATTAACCTTGACTGAAATGGAATCAGAACTCAACGTGCCTCTGGCCATTGTACGTGTGTGCCACAATTGCTGCACTGCACTGCAACTAATTGACAGAGATTTGCGAGACTGAGAAACCGACATAAAAAGGTCGATAGGTTCTTGGCTCATCTTGTGTTTCGGGCTCTCTACCTAAGCTCAAAGGACAATGCCCACTGATAATTGCGCCCATTTGCAGACGCAGCATGGAAGTTGCCTCAAAATATGAATTATGATTGCAGCAGGACGTGTCAATTGCAGGACCTGGTCAGAAGATTCTCAAGGTCATTTCGGGGCAAAAAAAGAAATGGGAAACGAAACATGTGCGGCTCGCCTTTGCCACTGATATAAATCTGTTATTTTTTTCCTGCGTGGGCAACAAAATTAGCCAAACAAATTTAGGCCCCAAGACACAACATGTCAGACAGAAACACTCACACACACACACACAACAGGTATATATGCAAGTGTGCGTGTGTGGGCCAGGCAAATAAAGCAAATTTACGAATTTACGAATTTATGTTGAAATTTATCGATAATGACTTAAAAGCCTTCAGGACAATGATTTAATGGCCCCGCGCTCAACGTGTTCACACATAACACAACCAACAACAACAACAGCAAACAAATCGCCAACACAAACACCCAACAGCCAACAGCCAAGAGCCAACAAAACTGAAGTAGGTTCTCAAATCTTAAACCCTGTTTAGATACGATAAAAACGGAATTTTTCATTATTTTCTTGGTTTTTTCTCTGTTTTTATTATTCGGCTTTGGAGGCCGCTGGAAATGATCGATGTTCGCTGGAAGTGTGCGCCGATTTATTTATGGCTTGATTTTGTTTTCCCCTCTGCGAATACTTTTGCGATGGAATCAGTGGCTCACAGCCAAAAACGCTCCATATTAAATTATTGTTCACATTACAAATTGTTTCGAGTGTTAAATAAATCAACAGTGCAAACAATTTAGATTCGATATTGATTTTAATAGAGATTTGTGCGCTGATTTGAACAGCAAATCAAAATATAGAGATTACAGATTAAAGATTCAAGGAAATTGTAAAAAAAGTTTAAGTCGAATAAAAGAAATGAATGAAGGTAAAAACAATTATGTATAATTTTTAGCATAATAGCATTTAAAATTTATAGCTTAAAAATTGCAAAATTTGAATTTAAAAAAATAGTCAATTTTATAAAAATAAATTATTAATTAAAAATTTAGTTGGAATCTTGATTTAATTTTTCCTTCATTGCCAAAAAAAAACATTTAAGTAAACAAAACAAAATGTTGTATTATAATTTTTTAAGATACTTAACACTTAACAGATTTGTTTTATATTCAAATAATATCAATTTGTTTATATGTTAAAATCCTTATTTTCCGTTTGCGGAACTCGCAAACATTTTATATGCATCAATAAATTTCTGTATGTACATATGACATTTCAAAAGCCATATAGAACAACATACATATATAATATATTATACATTTATAGCATAATAAATGATCTGAGAGCTCTTCAAAGAAAGATCTTCAAATGTTGTATTCACCAACAGAGCCAACAACTCACCCGAACCTCAAATAACTCTAAGGCGTGGTGAGTTTTTGGTCGTATATCGTATTCTTATTGGAAACACATCTGGCATAATTACAGTAGGTCTCTGTAAAAACTCAGGTGTTAGAATTCTTAGAAGACCTCTTTGAGCCTAGCTAGTCAGTTGGTGTTGCTTTTGGGTAACACAACAATCAGATTTTGAGTGTGGCACAGATGAAATATGCATGCAACACCCTGTATAAAGCAGCACAAAATGGGCTGTGTAATGCATCGTCAGGATTTCACGTTGGGCATAAATTACATTACGATCATCTCTGCGTTATAGCGGGAATCGATTGATTGAGATCGAGTCCGATGCTTGGGGAATGAAGAGCAGTGCAGCACTTGGAGCGAACCAGTTCCGCAAAAACCTGTCGCCCGAGCGTACCTTCATCTCATATTTGGTTCAACTTTAATTGTTTTTTAACCAGCTGCATGCCCCTATGGGTGCTCGTGGTGGCAAGTTTGTAATTATCGATAGCCCAAGTGAAATTTGATTGATTTTTGCGAACTGCTTCCTTACTGCCCCTTACTGCTGTTTTGCCCTGCGGCCCAAGTGCCACATGAATGTTGCAAACTTAACGCGTTCAGAATGCGAATTGAAATTTATGTTTGCCCGCTGACCACCTACATGAAGGCGATCATAAATTTCGCTTGGTCAGTTTTTGGGGTTCTTGAACTGAACTTTGATGTAATTTTATTTTTTTTATTGGAATCGACTTGAAAATGAAATTTTGCGTATGATTATTAAAGGTGCTTTGTGGCTTATCGGCGACTGTTTGTGACCCCAAGCCCTGTGAGCTGCAGTTGATAAGGTTTGTGCTTAGAACTCGCTGCCAGGGGACGGGTAAATGGGCTGCGGGTTGACTTCTGAACCTGGACTTGGCTCGGCTGGTGGCCGCAGTGCTCGAAAAGGCTGTCTACTTGAGGACGTGCAGTACATAATTACATAATGGCGTTGTTAACTGTAAGAAGCGCGCATTCTGCTCAACCGCCCGACGCGAGCGCTCAGTGTGTGTCCTGGCCAAAGGATTTCTTCACGCTGCTGTTCGCTTTTTTGCTATTCTTGCAGCTCTTTTAGCCGCATGGTCATAATTTACTGCGTTGCCAGTTGGCTGCCGCAGCGGCTGCTCTTGTTGCACAAATTGCAGCACACTTTTGTTGCCACTTTGCCGCCAACGTTGTCGTCGTTGCAACAATTACTGACAACGTCGACGACGACGACGACGACGACGAGGACGTCGCCGCTGAGCATCATTAAAACCAAAGGTGACAAAAATTAGTAAACAACGACTGCTTCAAGGCGTGTGGCAGCAGCAGCGCACAGTAGAAGTAGAGGTAAGAACAAGAGGTAACTACCAGGTGCAGCTACCAGTAGTTATATCTAGATCGGTTGGTTATGCCCAGTTCGAGTGGTTTGAGTTTGGTTTATGCGTCAGTTGAGCTGGCTTCAAGCTAAATTTGTGCCCAGTGGCCGATTCAACTTTAAATTGATGCGTTGCATTAAAACAGTGTAAAACACTTTATTTGAATATTGCAGAACCAATTAATAAATGCCAACTAATTAAGAATTTTTATATAATTAATATTTTAAAATATATTCTTTTCATTTCAGTAGACTTTGATTATAATTTATTTTATATTTTTTTGATTTTGAAAATTGTTTAAATATAATTTTTGTTATTTTATAACATCTTTTAATGAACTTATAGAACTGAAAAATTCAATGCTTTTCTTGAGAATAAATTTTTATTTATTAAAATATTTTAAAGACGGTAAGTGGAGTTTTTAAGGAACATTAGAAATTTTGTATTTGTTCTTCACAGAGTCGAATTTCTTTACAGAGATATATATATATTTTTATATATTACTATATTAGAAAATATATAATATACAGAAATATATTATTTTAAAATGTATATTTTTATATTTTGAAAAATACAAAAAGTATAATTTGAATGTTGAATACAAAAAATGATTTCTTTATTTTCTATATTATGTTTTTTATTTGTTAAACCCCAAATCCAAAAAACTTATAATCGACCGAAAATCTTAAAATTCCCGATTATTTTCAAAAGAAATATAATTGTTGCAAAAACATGTTTTTAGTTCATTTTTATGCAATATTCTTCTAACAAGTTTAAATATTTTTCAAGATATTTTTGTATAAGTTATATAGCTTGCAAATCTGTTTAAACTAAATCAAGTCTATTTAGTTTACTTAAACTGTTTTTCTATAATGGCCAGACAGTGTCAACAGTTGACTTATATTAGTCACAATACTGTTGTTATTAGTGACTGTTTTTCACTTGGCAAGTGGCTGTCTAATGGATCATCACTTGACCAGGTAAACAACTATGAAAACACACATAACAACACATCTGTAGCTGCAACAACAAGAACAACAACAAAGCACTTAACTTGGCTAATAAAAATGAAGCAAACTGAATCGAACTGAAGCTTAAGATATGTTTATGGATCAAGTAGAGAGTTGAGACTGCGCTGGACACTCACTTTTGCTTGGATCTGCTGTGGACTCACCTGCGATTGCCATCCAGGGGTAGAAGGTGTGATTGCTGGCCTGGTGTAAACTGCTGGCGGCCGCTGTTTGAGCCGCCGCAGCGCCCGAGATGGTGCAATTGGCATTCCAGGCTGTGGCCGCGCCCACACCGCCGCCCACGCCGCTGGCTGTATTCTGTGGTACGCCGCCGGCGGTGCCGTTGCCGCCGCCAGCACTGCCGCCGCCGCGATGGCTAACCGGGCTGCCGCCCGATGTGTCCAAATAGCCGCCGACGCGAGAGTCGGGCGTGCAGGCGGATGGGCGAACGGGCATGCCACCGCCGCCCGCATTATTCTGTCCATTTGCAGCATTGGGCGCATTGGAGCCATTTGAGGTGTTGCCAGCGGTGGCACCGCCGCCACCGCCACCTCCGCCCCCGCCATTGGCGCCGCCCGTGTTCCAAATGTCCTTGTAGCCATTGACGGCGTCCGCTTTGATGTTAAGGCAATCCTGTTTGTAGGCACTGCCTGCATCCCCGTAGATCTTGTTGCAGGCAGCCGTGATGCTCGCATCGTACGGCGAGTCCTGTGTGGTGCGCTGCAGATGATGGTTGGCGTACGGAGACATGCCCAGCGATAGCGGGAAGCCTCTGTAGGCGGCCGCCGCTGCGCTGGCCGTCGTCTGATCGTGATGGCCTCCCGTGCCCATTGTCATGCCCGTCGCCTGGTGCGGATGGCCATAGAAGCCTGAGGCCTGCTCAAAGTAGGAGTTCATGTTGTGACTGTTGCTGGCGGTGAGAATTTTGGCGGTTAACTGGCAGCTACAGCAGCTACTAAAAGTAACTGCACGCGGCACACGGCACTCGTATACAAAATTTAACACTCAATTGCGCTCAATTGCACAATGGGCATTGCCTAAGCAATAGTATATAAATAAGTTAATATAATTATTTTTAATTAATCAATATATTTTGGTTCCAAGTTTTCTTTTGTTTTTTTATTTTTTATTATATTTGCAATGTACTTAAGTTTTACAATATTTATTCAATCAATTTGGAATATTTGAAATTATTTGTATTATTTTTTAATTTTTATTGCACTTTTGCCGGCTCGCATCAGTTATAAAATTCTATAAAATATTTGTATGTTTAAATTAGTTGTGTTGCATTAAAGTTTCGTATACTTGATTTTGGTTTCGATTTTTTCCAATTGCACGCGTGTTTAATTCACTTGACACTGGGCACCATATATATAATATTTGTTGGGTGTTAATGAGTAAATATTGATTTGAAGTATTCGAAGTGGCGCCTATTGAATCATTTTGAATTCAATGACTCGTTTAACATTCATAGCGTTATCATTATTGTTATTACGAACTATTATTATTATTATTATTATTACTATTATTATTGCTGTTATTGTTATTATAATTATTATTGTTATTAGCGCTGACCGAAACGACCGACGACGGCGACGAGCGCGCGCTTCACGTTCAACTGACGCTTCAGAAACGCTTCGAAATTGAGATTCAAATTGAAATTCAAATTCAAATTCAGATATTCACTGGCCACTGGACTACAGATACGAAGGCGACTGCGATTTCAGAGCGCGCGGGCCATACAACATTAAAATTGAGCGTACAATGCCAATAACAATAATGCCGCTGATAATGTGGGATAATAAAACAAAGCGCGCGCCTGTTATCCAAACCGTTGCCATCGAACGAATGTGCCACCAAATCGCAGTTGGTTGTGTTTTGACTGAGACTCAACTAAACTCAACTGAATGGCAACGGGCCACAAGCAGCGAACGTCAGCGACGGCAGCGTTTTGCCTGTAGAGCTCCCCCGATACGCAGCAGCAGCAGCAGCAGCAGCGGCGGCAGCAGCAGCGGCAGCAGCAGAAGAAGAAGAAGCAGCCAAAACAGAGAGGCGAAACACCGAACAACCGAATGAATGAGCGAAACTGAAACGGAATGAGCCAAACTCGCTGCGCTCAGCAAGTGATAAGAGCTACTCAAACCAGCGGCTCGCTCACTCTCGCCAGTGAATCCAGTTGCCAGTGACTGCTCGTTGCGTTCATTTGGCAGGTTCGTGCACGTTCATTCGAACATGTTTGAGCGCTGAGCGGAGAATTCATCATTTGCGCGTGTGGAAAATTCGCTCTGCCCGTGGAAATTCATCATGGAGGAGGGCTGATTTTTCTTATAGGCCAGGCGGCGTACGTTTGCACTCAAACGATTTTCGCCACTTTTGCACTCAATTCGACAGACGCTCGACGCTCGCCAGTTGCCAGTTGTCAGTCGCCAGTTGCACGCAACGCGCTGCAGATACAAATCCATATTCAGATACAGATACAATGTTATGCTCGCCATGCCATGAATTTGTCCGTTGCATTTTGTGCGACGTCTTCAAATCGTTGAATATTTTGTAAAAGTGGGTTTTTTTAAATAAGCAAAAGCATATTAATAGTTCTACATATTCATACAAAAATATTTAGAATTGTAAAAATACCCATACTATTTTTAGAAAACTTAGATTTTAGTTTTGTTGTATATTTTTACATTATATACATTTTGAATTCCATTTACCTTCACTCTTGTCTTTGCAAAATATATAACACTAAAGCATTTCTAAATAAATAATAAATTTCTTATTATAATTGGTATGTGTTGATGATATTGAAAATCTAAGGTCTTTTAATAAAATCACTTTTACGCAAGCTTTATACTCAAACTAGAAGAAATTACCCGACATTGCCAGGTTGAAATGAATTATTAATATTATTGTATTGTTTCTGTAGTTCGTGTCAACTTCAAGCAGATATAAAGCATCTCAAATTGCCACCACGACTCTATTAATTAAAATAAAAATTCGATTGTAATTAAAATATCAAAAACTGAGATATTTTACCGGCTATCCATATCGAGCGGTTCTAGCACATCTAAAGGTCCCATTCACCCAATCAACAAACTAAATAAAAACTGTCTAAGGAACTTCCCTTTCCCTTTCCTTCATTTAAATTGCACAAAAGAATAACATTTGTTTTCATTATTTATAAATATTATAACGAGAAACACATTAATTTTAAATTTAAATTTTAAATTAAATAACGTTTTCTTCACATGATTTCGAACGTTCAACATCCCGCTTAATGTGCCGACGCCACTTCGCAAGCAAAGGAAAAATTTGTATTATCATTGGTAACTAACATCAATTCATTTTCCATTTCTTTACTTTTTACAGTTTTCTATTATTGCTTTTTTCCATTGTAAATGAAGCAATAACTCACTACAAAATTTGAAATTTTCATGTCTTCAAAACTAATTTAAAGTTAATCTACTAAATTCTGTATTTAATATTAAGCATCATCTACATAAAAAAAAGCTATCAAAATTGTATTTATATGATTATTAATTTTAGAATAAATCATAGACGTCTATTTAATTTATCAAGCAGTTGTTAGTTGAGATACATCACGCAGTTGAGAGATATCAACTGTAACGTTCATGCAAGTTAATTTTGGTGCTTCTTTCAGCTATGTTAATTATTATTATGTCATCCTTGGCAAATGATTATGTGGATACCTCTCTTATTCGCGATCGACTTCTAAATACATATATATACAGTCAGCTTAAGGCGACTCGTACGTATACGTTATTCGCCTTACATATTTGTTAATTGACTTTCTTTTTCGGATTTTATTCTCCATTTTTAAATGCGAATTTCATAGTTACGGCTAACACTTAAGATTTATTTATTAGGCATTTGCAGCAACAAAACTAAAAAGTATTTTGAATTGCTTTATTATCATTTGCTTTGCGATAGCTTATTCGAGGCGCTTAACAGATAATTAAAATCTCAATACAATAATTTCGATGCATTTTGCGGCTAGCATCGATGCATCTAGAATTTTAATACATTAATAATATAATATTGATGCGTTTTGCTAAATGTCGCTTGACGTCAATATGTTAATGCCCTTCTCTTAAGTATTCGGCATTTAAATGTATCTATATTTCCATATTTGGGATGCGTTATTAATGCGTCTCCAAATTGATGGTAATAAATTCATATGCATAATGCAAAGAGATCGTGGCGTTCGGTTGCGAAACTTTTGCAAATATTTGTCAAAGTTTGCACATTCGCACAAACGGCTCGTAGATTAGAGGCCAAAACCGACGAGCGAACAAACAAAGTTGCTTGCCACAAGTGTTTGCAAAATAAACTTATTATAAGAAGAAATTTACTTTTGTGCCGCCGCCCCCGGCAGCGGGCGCTGGCATTCGTTGCCAAGTCTCTAAAATCAACAACATGCGAAAAGATACAAAAACTTGCACACAGCGCACGGATGTCCACACACACACGCACACACAGACATACACAGGCGCACAGACAGACGGCGACATTTTCCCAAATGTGCGAGGACCAACAACAAACTGCCAAGTAACATGAGCGGAAAGCCAAGCAAAAAGTACAAAAATTACGAAAACCCAAAGCAAACCAAACCAAACGAAACGAAACGAAACGAAACGTAAAGAACGGCAGCCAAAAGTAAAAATCGCAGTCGCAACTGCAAACTAAATATCGTCAGTCGTCCTGGCAGTAGCAGTAGCAGTAGCAGCAGCAGCAGCAGCAGTTGCTGTAGCTACAGGATGAGTGCGAAACGCGGTCGAGCAGGACAGACAGAGAATAGCCTCATAACCATTTGAAGCCATTCGAAGGCGCATAAAAGGATCACAACAATCGCCGAAATGAGCCATAATGAGCTCGTAAAAATTTTGCTACCTAATATACTCAGGAATCTTACGAGTATATTCAAACTTGGTACGTTATGTGGCTGCTGCTGGCTTAGTTGTTGTTGTTGTTGCTGCTGTTGTTGCTGCTGTTGTTGCTGATGTGACTGCTGTCGGGATGCGACTGCTGTTCCCTGTGTGAGCTCCAGTTCAGTGGATGCTGTTGTTGTTCTGCTGGGTCCCTGCTCGGGCGCCAGTTGGTTGCACAATTGGTTATGTAAGCATTATCAGGTCATGATTGTCTTATAAGTTCATCAAAATAAAGAATTCAATTGATGGACTTAAAATCGTTTAGCTGGGATGAAAGTAAAATAAAATAAAATAACAAATATATAACATTTTTTGTCATGACTGATTGACTGTTTGACTGACTTACTGACTGATTGATTAAACCGCAAGCTTTAAGGTTTCCTTGGGATTGACTGACTGACTGACTGATTGATTGAACCGTAAGCTAGCATCTTTGCTTATTAATTGTAAGTGAAAATTACACCCGCAAATGTGGAAAATCAATTAAAAAGGGTTGTATGCAAATTTCTTGTTAGCCATTTATTATTGCGCTTCTATGCGATTCTCATGAATTCAAATAAGACCTTCATTCTCTCGTGCTTTGATTGTAATTGTGAGTTTAAGAAAATTTATTTCCGTTTATAGTCTTAATATCAAATCATGCATTCTATGTTTTCAACTCTCTCTTTCTCTCTCTCTCTCTCTATCTATATATATATATATATATATATACATATATATGTATAAAAGTCTTTCTCCCTCCTATAAATAATATATAATAATGAAGTCTGTGCATTTACAGACATACAAATTTACATATATATTTATACATACAAAATAAATATGGTGTAAATATGGTTGATACACAATATTATTTAAAATCAAATATAACCTGAACTCTTCATAGATGCACAGAGTTTAATGTTTTTCATTTTTTTCACTTGACTTTAAATAAAGGATTTTTTTATTTATTTGGAATAAGATAATATAAATAAATATTTTTGTCTAAATCAAAATTTAGAGTAGTAACAGGCTTACAAAATATTTTTTGAGCAACATTTGTACTTATTGTTTTGCTTATATATTTGCTTTTCATCTTATTTAAACTAAAGCTAATCAATTGGAAGCCAGCGGGAGTCCACTTGTGGTGAGTTTAGAGCCCATTTCACTGGCAATGCATCAAATTCGCCCAATTGTCGGCTCATAAAAATGTCGACGGCGGCCGCTTCAAAGCCAATTGCAACGGTAAAAGTATTGACTTTGAAAACTGAACGATTGTTGGCATAAATCTGTGCAGCGGCGATAACAGCGCCCTTCAAAACATCCAACAGGTGCCGTGTGGGCACACTGGAGCGCCAGCAGCCGAAATTCCGAATCTCTTTATAGACAGACGCACACATAAACAAGGGCGAAGCGATCCAGCGATCGAGTGTTTTGTACTTGCAACAAGCTTTTATTTTATTTATTTAATTTTTTTCTCTTTTTTTTGTAAATAAACCTCCGCACATTTGGCGTTTGATGTTAGGTTGGGCCGTGCAGGGTGGGGGGCAGCAGGGCTGCTCGCCTTTTGATGTTTTGTTTGCGTCGGCAGCGGCGTCAGCTGCCAAATTGCTGCTTTATTAGCTGCGTAAGTGGCAGGCACAGCACAACAAGCCCAACCCTACCCAATCGGCCAGACACAGATGCAGATACATTCAGATACAGATTCAGATTCAGATACAGATATGCGGATGTCGAGACAAGTGCGTTGTCTATGTCTATAAGCTAGACGAAATGGCCGTCTCGATGTATCGAATGCTTGGCAATCAGCGCCGGCGCTCGTTTTGAGCGATTATGGGCCAATTAAACAGTGGGTGGGTGTGGTAATTAAATTAGCTGTCTAAATGCCCCGCGAGCTATGTACTTACACCGAGCGCGAAATGAGCTCGTGCATTAAAATGCCATTCATCATCAGGTGCGGCGCCCAGTTGCAGTAGCATCTGGAAGGTGGTCAGCCAAATTGATCACAATTCTCACATGGGCCGTGCTCAATCTCCCTCTTTTACCCCCTTTATATATATATATCTGTATATAGCTATATCTCCCTTTGCATCTGAGCGGTAGCACTCGTAAATTTCATACGCGGCTACTGTGGACAGGGAGTGGGGCGCATATGGTAATGCGTTCGCTTTGTATGCAAATCCAGCTTTGGAATAGTATCAGAAGAATCGCCAAAGTGCAAAAAGAGAGCTTTGCTTAAAAAAAGACTTTATTGTTTACCTACATTTCCCAACAATATAAAGACTTACTAATAGTATGTATTTATTTATATTTTTTGTTCTTTTCGCTTGGTATATAGTTAAGAGTTGATCAGTTCTATCTTCAATTCAATGAAACCCATCGTGGAAAGTATTCCCCCAGTAGGTTCGAGTTGAAAAAAAGGAGCCCGAAATGAAATCCAGCCAAAAAACAACGCAACTTGTGCGCACTTCCTCTGCAGATTCGCAGGGGTTGTGGAAACGGGAGCATAATGTACGCATGGATTAACCAATTACATTGCAATTTTAATTTGCAGGCGGGCGAAATTTTATTGCGAAATTGCTGGGAGCAAAAATGAAATCAGCGCCGCGGCGAATATGGAATGCATTGATAAGGAAATCCTGAGCGAGGCCCTGTAATGGCAGCGAATGTAACCGGTGCCACAAAACGGGGCACAACAGAGAGTGAATGAGAATGTATGCGGGGAATACGAAATGCAAGCCAACGGATTTAAGTTCTTTATTAACACTTAATAAATCATAGAGCAGCGGGCAGTCGCTTCGGAGGAGCGGGAGCTCCCCACCAGCTCGTCTCCATCTGGCTTCGATTGATGCGGACGAAGGGAAGTGGCGGCCATAAAAACAAGCACCAATGCCGCAGCCAGCAGTTCCATAGCCAGTGCTGTAAATGTTTGTCCATTCATCCATTCATCCATTCATCCATTTGTCCAACTGTTCAGCTGTCCGGCACTATCTGCCACAGTGCGACAGTGTCAAGCATAAATCCTCATCATAATTCAAAGCATTGATCATCGCTGCAACCCGCACAGTCCGCAAGCCCCGCACCCGCCGCAAAAAAAAATGACAAATTGTTTGGCGCTCGATTGGCGCAGGAATTGGACGCCACATCGACGTCGCCGGATTGGAGCTGGTGCAGCCGCATGTGGCGCCTGCGATTTGCACGTGCATCGCCTACTGCTGGCCACTTGCAACGTGCCACGTTGTGTGTGTGTGTGTTGTTGCAGGCAGCACAATAAAATACTCGTAAAATGCAGCGGCCCACAAAAGGTGGGTGAAAAATTTCCTCTTTCATTTTTAAATGAAAGTTTATTATTGTTTTTGTTTTTATTGTTGGTGCTGTTGTTGTAGTTGTTGTTGTTGTTGTTGTTGTTGCTGCTTTTGTGTGACAAGATAAGGTAAAAGTCATAAAATTTTATTATGTATTTATGCATTAAACATTCTACATTATGAATTTAATACGGAATTATAAATATTTGCGGATTTAAACTTAACGCCGATTTGTGTGTGAATACCAAAGCCCCTTCTCCACGACCCCTACAAAATATCCCAGAATAGCGGATGGCTGTAAAGTTGAACATTATCATATCTCCTTTAAACTATTTGTCGACTTTTGAGCCCATAAAATACTACAATAGTAAACGGCATATTTGATATTAAGGTAAATTATATTTCAAGTGTTTTTCCGAACATTTTTTAATTTAAATTTTATTCAATTTTGTAATAACTCAAAGAAGAGTGACATGATTTTAAACATTAAATAAAGTAAGCTAAATTTAAATAATAATTTTTTCCGAAAATCTGAAAATTTATATACTGTTCAATTGTTTTATACCGGAAGGTAGTGTCCTTCGGCCTGTTTTTCAGTACCTGGGCCATGTTCATGTTAACAAAAATGAAAACACGATATATAAAAACATTTTCTCCCTAATTATGTTTTTTCTTAATTGCTTCTTAAATATTACCGCATCCCATAGCTATAGATAATATACTTGAATATTTTGTAAAATAGGAAACACAAGTTATATCTTTATCGCCATAAATATTTATTTTATTTTTATTAATTTTTTAGTGTTGTGTCAATACTAATAATAAATACTACAAGGGGTAATATTTTTTTTTATTTATATGGTTAAAGAATTTTTGTTTATTTTTTGAATAAAACATTGTCAACCTACTCTAATGTGAATATATTAAAATATGTTTTTCCTATGATTTATGCTCTGTGAATATTTTCGTAAGTGTTGTTTGTAGTTTGCAAAAAAGCAAATAAAAGAAAATAAATATTTATGTATACTTATGCACAGATAGAAATTTAGCATTCTGAAGGTGCTGTTAGTTAAATGTAGCTGTTTGCGAACTGGGCATAGGCATTTTTCTTCATTAAGCAGTGGAAAATCAATAAACGGAGGGGCCGGCATGCCATGCAGGTCCAAGAGGAAGACTAAGCCGTAGACGTGGAGCAGGACAGGGACGCGACTGGAGACGGAGACGGAGTGGAGACGGGCAAGACATACAAATTTTCCAATTAAGCAAAACACGTTTTCTAACGATTATTTTATGCAATCGAAACGAAGAAACGAAGCCAATTAAGACTATCAACGATTCAACGATTCAACGGCGAATGCGACTCTGCATCGCAAATAAATCGTGTGGGGTATGGCACGGAATGGCCACGATGGAGGGGCTTAGGGGGGCACGGGACAATTTGATGAATTAATGAATAAGTTGACGTGCCACCGACCGCCGAGCGATCGACTGTCAATGGATGTGCAACAATTGGGCGTGCATTCGTTAGGAGCTAGGAGCCGGAGAGTTAGAAGCCCGTTTGCCACCAACGTTGGGGCAATGTAATTGCCAACCTGCATGAATCAGCGTGGGCGTGCGGCGAAACGGGGCGTGTCCAGGCAGGAGCAAGCCCAACAGGCAGCCAAGTCGTACAGTCCCCAGTTGCCCGCAAGGTAAGTGCCACGCGCTTGCTTGCCCCCAGTTGCGGCTGCCTCGCTGATTTCTTGACGAGCTGCATCGTTTAAAATATTTGCCAGAGATTGCATGCAAGCGATACGAGTCTCGAGTTTGGCCCAACAATTGTTCAGCGCTATTTTCATGTTTATGCCCAGCATTTCCACATTTCAAATTTGCACACAAAGTGGCAATTTGGCCCAAAACCGTTGCGAGCGCCTTTTATGGCCCGCAGTCAGACTCGCAGTTCCAGTTGCAGTTGCAGTTGTTACTGGAGTTTGAGTCGCAGCAGAAGCTAGCTGCAGCTGCGACTGGCTAAGCGAGCGGCAGAGTGTGGGTTGCAGCTGGCAGCGCGTAATTGAATTGAAGCGTTCTTCGCGTTTCTTCAAATGAACGTCAATTAAAAATGCATCATAAACGCCCCCAGCGCCATTTCATAAACGCTGCCTTAATTTATGCTCTCAACTGCTGCTCCGGTGAGCTGCTCGCTCCATCATCGCCATCGCGGCCATAAAGCAAACCAGAACCACAGACAGCCCCAACAACTAACAGTGCCAGTACCAGTCGCCAATCCGAGCCAGTTAATTGCTGCATGTTGGACTTGTGGCAACTCAGTTGCTGCACTTAAAAAATGATTGCCAGTTGGACTGATAGATGACTATCAAAGCCAATTCTTGATTAACTATGGCAAATTAATTAAAACTGAATAATAAAATTAAATGTATATAATAACAAGAATCTCTTTTAACCTAGCTTAATTGTGCAAAGTTCAATTTTGATTTAAGTCTGTTGGAATACTGGCAGTCTCATCTATATATGATCTATTGAATGGACAAGAAAAACAATAGTCTAGCGGCTAAATGGCTAGTTATTTAAAAACAACAATAAAATAAATAGATGCCATCTACAAGTCAATAAGACAATTATGTTGACAAGGCTAACAATAATAAAACTATCTTTGCCAACAAAAATAAATTTATTTATCGCCAAAGCATATTTAATGCCCACATCCCATCTTAGGGCATAGCGATTTATGGAACTATTTATATGTTTAGTCAGCAAAAAGATAAAAGCAGCTTTTAGTTGATAGTTAGGTTAAATAGGTGTACAAATAAAATTTAGTTTAGTTTCTGTAATTAAAAAATGTATTAAGTAATTCAATAGTTAGCAATAATATAAAGTTGAAATTAATCTAAGCTCAACCCTTTACCTTGACAGAATTGATGATTTTTGAAGACAAGTTCTAAACTAAAGCGCCTTTTAGACTGCCAACTCTCATAACTTAGTCAAAACGCTGCTTTTTTAAGCCAAACACATTCTAGATATAAAAGCCTCTATTGACATCTAAATATTCCCAGCATTAAAAGTATATAAAGGTAAGCCCGATTGATAAATCAATTCTCACAGCTCGGCTATCATTGAAATGTCTTAATTAGAAAGTTTTCAAGTGCTGGCAACGACAGCGGGAGGTGTAAGTGCTGAGACGGGAAACTACCCTTTGGGCCAATGGGGGCGCAGGCGGGGTCTAGGCTGACTGGGCTGCAGTCATCATCATCGGCGCCTTGGCGTGCTTGTGTGCAAAGCAGTCATAAAAATTACAATAAACAATCATCATCGCGATCCGTTTACACCCACTTTGCACGTTTTCGCAAGCGCCGGCCATGGAAAGTGAAAAAGGATTTCAGTTTGTGCCACTTCCCACTCGCCAGCTCATGGCGGCGGCTAAAACAAAGCCAATGCCAGGTAACCAGGTGGGCGGACACGGCTAACCAGCTGGCTAACAAGTAGGCAAAACCGTGAGCTATCGCAGTCAACGAAAAATGCTCAATTAGCCGGGCTAAAGGACTCAGCGCCATTTGGCTGGATTTGATGAGCAGGCGCCCGAATAGGCACTCAGGGTCGAATGCAAATGCTGCCAATTGCTTGACGAACGAGTCCAAGGGTTCATTCGCAGGGCAGGATTGTGTAGGTAAGTCTAACTGTAACGAATGTCTTCATTCCATGTCCGACTGTTGCTCTCCCGCTTCCGCTGCCTCTGCCTCACCCTCTCCCTGTGCCCATTCAGCCAGCGGCGGCTCTTTTGTCTGGCCATTACCATTTTGCATAAGAAGGCGGCTAGTTTCGTTTCACCTCTCCGTTTGGTGTTTGGACTCAAACTGCAATTGATTCTTGACCTCGTAATGAGCCGTTTGCGGCTGCGCCGGCACTGTTGAGCCACTTTGTGGTTTTTGGGATTAAGTCATCATCTGCGCGGGTTTTCGAGTCGACCAAAATATTGTTTGCCTTTATTGTGGTCGCGTTAAAGGTGAAGTGATAAATTGTGTTTGCATTTTAAGCGGTTAAGTCGAGTTGAGTTTAACAATCAAATTTATACATCATTTTAATAATTTGTAATTTTATTTAAATTAGTTTTAAATATTTACAGTGCATTTAACCAATGTTCAATCTAATAATTTAAAAATAATTATTTACTGATCTGAAACATTTGAAGCTTTTGTATTGTAGTAAATTAAAAATTTAATGTATGGTTAAAATTTGATAAGCAGAATTAATTATACAAACATTTTATAACTTTTGATACTCAACAATAATCTGTTTTGCGTACGTTCCATAGCTCATTTCAAATATTCTATGGATTAACGGATTACTTGAAGCATAAGATAAATTTAAAATCTCTGAACTTATTTAAGAGAAAACCTCGGCAGCAACCTGTTGTTGTGTCGCCCAGTGCCCGGTCGCACTCTCAGCATATTCGAAATGAAACCATTTAAATTGTCGTAAAAATAAATTTTATTAGGTTTGCCCACTTTGTGTGGTCGTAAAAAGAAATACCGGCAGCCGACAATTAAATGCCAAGCAGAATAGAACAAGCCAAAATGGCATTTTAACAACTATATAAACAAATTGCGGTTAATACCAGCGCCAGGCCCAAATTTTATGTTCTTTTTACGACTTGACGCCACTTAAGCAAACGCGCTCCCGAATCCGCTCGCCACTCGTCGCCAGGCGCTCAGCTCAACAATCACTCAAAGCGGCCGACGATCCTTCAGCATCCTGCACGGGGGTTGGAGTGTCCTGCGAGCTGAGGCTGTGCCTGAGCCTGAGCCAGAACCTGATCCTGGTATTTGAGTGCAGTTGCGGGTCGTGCGTTCATTTGCTTTTGCACTCGAGTGAGTTGTTTGGCCCGGGCTATGGGTTTTACGACTTTTTTACGATCTGTTAGTGTGACATGATGACAATCAATATAAAAGACATAAAACCCAAGTTCCGTGACGTATGCCATAATTATT